CTTCAATGGCAAAATTGTAAGACTTTTTTCTGTATATATCACATATATCTTATATTGAATTTATATACAGATCAAATATTATTATTTATTTGTTAAGTGGGTCTAGCTAGCTGTTCTTTTCAAGCATGAATGTAAAACTAATTCTTGGGCATCCTTAGTTTTTAGGGGGATTTCAAGCTGCAAGTCCCATTATGGTATCTACATTGACTTTGGTCATGAGCATCATTTTGTTAGCATGTTTAGGCTTTCTCTAGATTTGGGTTCTAGATTAGTATTGTCCTCATAATATTTTAGTTCTCATTATTGGGCGAGATCTCATCATTTGGAGACAATAAGACCTATATTTTTATGTTATTCTATGATGTTCCTTCACATATCAAGCTGTTATAGATGATTTCAGCCTTTTGTGCTGACCTCTACATTCTCGATTGTGCTATCCCTTGCATGATGTCTAGTTATCTGTAAGGAGTCTTGCTTAGAAAATTTACTTTGTCAAACCCCAAAGGAAAATAAATAAATACCCCTAATTTAGAGTATTATTAGGCTCGTCCAATATGTAAGTAATTATGGGAATTTGGTCACATGGGAAACTTGATTAACCATAATAAACAAATCTTACTCAATATGCATATTTTGAGTAGGGGAAATCTCTAGTGTATTGTAATTGCATATGTTTTTATCTTTCAAAGTTGTTTAGTTAATCTCTTCCACCCTTGAGGATGGTGCAGCCCCTTCTATGAAATACTCAAAAGACAATTGTAAGTATAATTAATTTGCCTTAAATCTATTGTCATACTGGAGCATCTATGTTGCACCGATACGGATACGACACGATACGGATACGGGATACGCCAATTCATAAAAATACAGGATACGAATACGGCGCGAATATGACATTATAATATATAATTCATACATAAAAATTAAAAAAGTAATCAAAGTGTAATATTTGAAATGACAAAAAAATTTTGAAAGCAACATTATTTGTAGCATTATATCTTATAATATCAAAATAAAAATAAGTATTAAATATTTAAATGTCTACTATAACAAAAAAAACAAAACTATAAATTGTCCAGAATATTTTCAACTATTCAATAGAAGGAATGATAGGATTAGCTTCTTCAGTGGTTTGTCTTTGAATTTCTATATGATCTTCAATAAATATCATAACTTCCAATTCAGGCTCATTAAGTGAAAGATTAACAATTTCTAATATTCTCATATCCTCAAGAGATTCAAATCAATCTCCAACAACATCCCACATCCTGTTGTCTCTTTCCATAACTGAGGCAAATCAAGTTTCAGCAACTGCAAGCATCTTAAAATTAGAAAAATTATTGAACATAGAGAGTCTCATGGAGTGATTCATAATAAAATTTCTAATTACAACTGCATCTCCAGCAATCACTATGATCCAATGACATTCATTGTAGGTGATTTCATTTGCCTCGGTATTCTTAGCGGCACAAATGTTCTTCAAGGCAATATTAAGCGTATGCACAACACACGGTGTCCAGAAAATATGAGGATAGGCTTGCTCTACAAGTAGACCTGTAACTCTACAAAGATGTGCATTATCAGTAATGACCTGAATGATGTGAAGGCCTCACCATCATGATAACTTGTTTGATTAAATTAGAAATGAAGAACTTATCTGTGTACTATCCTTCATAGTTTACAACTTTGATAAACATATGATAGTTCTCTGTTACTACCATGAAGTTGATAAGTGGGCTTCTTTGTGGATATGTCCACCTATTACAAACCAAAGTAACTCTTTTTTCCTTCCAAACTCCTCTAGTAGGCTTGCTTCTCAATATTATCCATCTCTCTTTGCAACAACTTCATTCTAATGACAATATATTCCAGTGGCACATATCCTGCAAGATTATTATTGCATGTGTAGGTAAATACATTCTTGTAATGTGGATTCCTTGCAAAGTTAGAAGGAAGTCTGATAGGCCGGCACCTGGGCCGGTCCAGGTCTATAGCCGGCGGAAGCCAGGCAAGCACAAGGAGGGGGCGGAAGAGCTGGGGGGGCCCACTTGGAGTTAATTCAAATTTTAGGAGGGAGAATTTGAATTAGAAGGGTAATTAGGTCTTTTGTAATCCTCCTTTCATGATTAATTAGGGAGATGAGAGGGGAATTAGGGTCATCTTGAATTTGAATTATTTTGAGATCTAGGGTTTGGTGTTCTTTGGCTCTTGGCTTTGCCGGAGATCGTTGGAGAGTTTTTCCTTCCTCTCGAATTGAAGGAAAGTTGTATCTTGCAAGTGTTTTTCATCTTCTATTGAAATAATAGTGTTGGCTTCGTTTCCTTACGAGTTTCTACTGCATTTCTCTCAGTTTTTTCCTGTTTCCTACTGTTTTTCTGTTGTGGACAGCAGTTTTGCTGTTGAATTTTCACTGGTTTGGGTTAGGATTACTTGTGAACTCAAGTATTTCCTATCAAAGTCCAACCGAGTAAAACATTATAGCTATTTTCCCATCTAGTTGTTCTCTCTTTTGTAAATTAAATGCTTTCTCCAAAGCACTATCTGAAGCACTATCTGCAATATATTTTCTTCTTTTTGGTTCAAATCCTTTCATCCGAAAAAGCCCTTTGTTTACAATATTATTATCACTTCTAATTGAAAAAGATGATGAAGGATATGAAACATGAGTGCTTGGAAGTGGAATATATTTTGGAAGGTCTTTTTACTCCTTTTGCTCAGCTTCACTGATTTTCCTTTGTAATTCAGCTATTTATGATGAGCTTATCTTCGGACATACTTTAATTCCATGACCACTAATTTTCAACAAATGAGCTTTCACTCTATAATATGAACCTTTGTATGTGGCATTACAAAAATTGCATTTGAATGTAATATTGCCTCCCCCTTCTAACATTTTATCTATTTCTGTCACATAACCCCATAGAGGTTTGTTATCTTCAATATTGATCTCTGATGGGCCATCATCATACCCAATTCCTACACCACTAGAGCTCATAATACTACAAAAGATCGACACAAATTAAACTACATGAATTTGAAACATGAAAAATTTTATGTAAAAGTGTAGATATGTTGCGACTATGCCGGGGGTCCAAGGGGGCGCTGCCCCCTGGCAGTGCTCGACCTACTTTAAGAGTTGTTTTAAAGATTTCTCTACCTTCTCGATGCCGCTTGGTACCGAGCGATATCCCTTTGTACCGAGCGATACCGAGCATTAATACTGAGCATGGTACGGAGAGTTGCGTAGAGGTACTGAGCAGTACCGAGTTCCGATACCGAGTGGTACTAAGTTTTAGTACCGAGCAGTACCTAGTAGTACCGAGCGGTACCGAGTACCGAGTTGCTCCGTCGACGAAGAACGAAGAAAACAAAGAACAAAGAAAATTAACCTTAATTCATTGCTCATGTCGCCTTCACCGTTCGACAAAGGATGATCCAGTTGGCTTTAATGCTTGCGTCGTCAAGCCTTTTCATCGACGAAGGATGATCCTGTCCGCTTCTATGCTCACGTCGTTGAGCCACTCATTTGACTATAAGGAAAAAGATGAACACCTGTGCGGAAATGAAAAACCTAGCTCACCGAAATGTTTAAGCCACAAATGTGGATAGCCGAAATGAATAGGACAAATTATGGCTCTTTTTTTTTTAATAGGACTCGTAGTGTCTGGACAAATTTAAATAATATTTTAATTGGACATGACAAAGCCGTATCCGACACGTATCCGTGCCGTATCGGAGGCGTATCCGTATCTGACACGTGTCCAATACAGCATGCCTTGTAAATAGGAGTATCCGTGCAACATAGTGGATCATAAATGCCTGCAAACAATTCTATGCCTCACAATGGTACGATCCAATCATTTGTGACTCTTCCTTTCGCATGAGTCTCATCATATTTTCGTCGAAACTTCGCCCGGAAATAATATGAGGTCTATCACGGAATCAACATAAATCTAACAAAAGTTCCCCATTAATCTTTGAGACCAATATGAGGGTGGTTGATCGAAATCCTGTGAGTGTGCAGGGAAGAGGCCGGTAGCAAATGTTTCACGTTCGAAGGAGGGTTCAAAAACTTTGCTTGTGTGTCTTGAAAAAAAAGAGGAGCAATGTGCGCTTTTTTTTCCTTATGTGAGGAGACGAGTAGTGTTTTTCAAGCCAATAAAAAATTAAAAACAAAGCCATTTTTATTGATGCACACCTAAGGCATCATCATGGTTTACCCTTTCTCAGATTTTGTAGAAGCTAGATTTTTTTTAAGGGCAAATGGCTACTCAAAAGACTTAGAAAAAAGACAAAAGTCTACTCAAATTTAATCACGAATATATATATATCATAAATCTTCCTATTCGAACGTTCTCAATGATCTAAATGCTTTTGTGCAATCTGTTTCATGAGACAAATCCTTGATAAAAAGTTTTCATGTGGGGGAAGATTTCAACTAAATAAAAAATTGCATGCGTGAAACTACATAAAACTTAGACAAATCATCTTTGCAAGTGTTACACGTGTCCTTAAACATGATGAAGTACAACATGATGCAACTCATATATTTCGAGTCTGAGCATGATGATGAGCCAGGGTGGCCACGAGTGTGCTCGTACAAAGAATGCATGAGTCAAATTTTATTGATAGCTTTCTAGTCTAGTGACGATCGCGATCAATGGAGGGCTATTCTATGGAGTGCACTGATGAGTCTGAGTGTGGTCAATGCGAAAAATGTGGTCAACACCCTTATAGAAAATATTGTTATTGCATCTTCTTGGGTGTACTGCTACCGGCGTATTTGGATGCTGCTGGCCATCAGGCCAGCTGAATGGATCCTCCTGGATCACTCTATCATTCCTATTTTAAGCTAGTTTCAAATCCAAGCAAACTATTTGCATAAGTTATATTGTTTAGTTCTTTTTAATGCAGTAATGCTGTAATATTGATTGGTATTATACATATTTTTTTGTTTAATTTTTTTTTTAATTATTGAGAACTATTTCTTCTTGCTAAAGGATATTGAGTGTTTCCGAGCTTGCGGGAGGAAAGGCGGCATCATCAAAGGGAAGTTATAAAAGGAGATACCTGGAAAGATCTGTACATTGCGAAAGAAAGGTAATTTTCTTCTAAAGCTCTAATAAAATGCAACCAGCTTGCACCATCCTTGTAGGCTACTTTTAACTGCTTACTCATCCTAAGTCTGATTCTCGATATTCAGGAAACTTCAATCCCTGGGGATATCCTTGGTCAAGTATCACATACTCATGATATAATTATGTAACTCTCTTCGTCCATGCAACAACTTGTTATATAATTTTTAACATTCTACACATTTTTTTAAACCTTTTTTTCTTTCTTTAGAACTTCATTATTGATATCATAAACAGTTTGAATAACAAATCAAAGTACTGTATTTATTGGTTCAGGAGTTTGGATAAAACAATTTCTGATCTAGAGATGCAACTGGCGGCTGCTAGAGCTGCACAGGTAAGTGATCAGGACACCTTTCAGAAAACTATGGGATCTCAAACAGAACCACTGAAGGGTCGTCGGAAAGTTTTCTTTGTGATGGGCATTATGACTGCTTTTAGCAGTAGAAAACGCAGAGATTCAATTAGAGATACTTGGATGCCTCAAGGTTCTTGATCTCTTAATTCTTCAAACTTTTGTTTTCCAGATGGAAATAATTGGTTTAATTCAAATACTTTCAATTAGTTGAAAACCTAAGAAGAATGGAGCAAGAGAAAGGAATTGTTATGCGCTTTGTTATTGGCCGCAGGTGCTCAAATGTTAGATATAATTGTTTTATAGGGAAGACGAAGAATACACAATTATACATGTTTAGTAATGCCTCTTGACTGATATTCCAGAGCTTTTTCTTTTGTGTTAGCTCGACACCTGGTGGTGTTTTAGACCGTGCTATTGAAGCGGAAGAAAAGCAGCATCAGGATTTCCTTAGACTGGTGTGTTAACTATTCTAGCTAATCTGTGCAACCATTTGCAATTTATCAGCTAAGGTTTCATTTGTGAACTTTTTTTCTGCTTCTTAAAACAACTTTCTAGTACAAAAGAAAAAATTTTTGTGCTAAAAAATTGCTTTAAGAAGTACTAAAAAAGCCGTCCTAAATGAAACCTAAATATTGAAAAAACATCTAAAATACGTTTCCTTTCCTTTCTCCTTGACTTGTATCTAAAACTTGCTTAATAAACCAGAAATTTTTTTCTGTTCTTCTACAGAACCATGTTGAAGGTTATCAAGAGTTGTCTTCAAAAACTCAGATATATTTCTCCATTGCAGTGGCTCTGTGGGATGCTGATTTTTACATCAAAGTAGATGATGATGTGCATGTAAATCTTGGTCGGTTGCCTTCTATGTTAAACAATTTGCATCAACCATTCCTGATCATTTTGGGTATTTCTCATCAAATGCCATATCTGCAAAACAGGTGTTCTTGCTTCTATTCTAGCACACCATAAATCAAAACAACGTGTCTATATTGGCTGTATGAAATCTGGACCTGTTTTGGCAAAACAGTAAGTGGTGATGCTCTTTTTAATTTTCCTAACATCTAAATATTTATATGTGGAACATTGTCTTTATTTTTGTTTGATTTCTCAGTGATGGTTCTGCAACAAGACTCGTATTACCTTGGCCACCAGGTCCTCCATTAATACCATGACTGCGCTTCCTATAGAATCTGCCATCTTCTCTAGAACAATGATTAGTTAGCTATTCAGTACTATATTGAACGAGTACCTTACTGATCATGATCATCATTGGCTTTTTCCCAGCTATTTGAGGCTGATTTTGTGAATCCTTAATTTTTATTCGTTCCTAATAAGCGTTTCTAAAGTGTGAAATTGATTCTTTACAAATCATTTTGAGCAACTTCGATCCGTGTTTCCATTTGTCTTCTCCTGTAATCCTGAGATTCATATGATATAGTTAACTTAATTTTAATTTTATAAAATAACTGTCTAGTATTTATGGTATCCTCTAATCATATAATGCTTCAGAAACTATTCATTTGAACAAGCTATATTCTTATTCCTATGCATAATAGATTTAATATATTTAAACCTCTCACCCCCCCTATGAATCATTTTATCTTCTATTAATATTTATTGATAATTTATAATAATAATCTAAGTGCATATCATATACCTAGTTTTTGTGCCCTCTCTTATTTTATTTATCTTTTAAATATTTTCTCCATTATGATGATTTTATATTTATATTTGCATATGCCAATGATGATATATATATATATATATATATCATAAAAAAATTCATGATTGAGCATGAATCTCAAGGCAATCTGATTGAAAACTTCTGAAATTATTCCAGGACCATTCAAACTCTGATTTCAACAAACTTATAATCGAACTGAACGTCTCGAAAAGATGAATCTAACGACACCAAATTCGATCCAATCCGAGCGCAAATGGGTTCTAATCAAGGACCTAAGCGTATTTGGAAGGTTCAAACCATAAATTGGATGATCAAATGATTTTCAAATGTGACATACTTATAGTCGAATCGAGTGGCTCTATGAGACAAATCCAACGAGCCCAAGATCGCCGAATTTTGGCATCATTACGACACTCAAATGCTCGATAAATTGTCTATGATCAAGGAAATTAATATCGGTCGTCCATTCGAACCACTCCCAACGTGCCCTTGATCTTCTCCCTATTTACTGGCCATGCCACTCCCAGAAAATTATAAATAGACCCCTCATTTTTTTCAATGAAGGGGAATAAAAAGGGAAAGAAGATAGAAGAGGAAGAGAAATCTGAGATCTCTCTTGTCACCAAGCTCCTCATCAACCACCGTCCGGCCATCGACCATCGTCGAACTTTCGCTAGACTTTCGCCCAGCCACCAACTGTCGCTGGACTTACGCCCAACCACCGATTGTTATCGGATTTCCTACCGACCACCGTCGCCCGACTACAGTCTTTAAGACCTCTGTTGCCCACCGACTACGGTCTCTCCGACCATCGTCGCTCGCTAACTGTGGTCTTTCCAACCTCTGTCGCTCACCGATTACAGTCCTTCCAACCTCTATCACCCGACGACTATGATTTCTTCGAACACCGTTGTCAACTACGGTCCTTTCAACCACCATCGCCCTAGGGTCTTTCCGACCTCCATCACCCTAGGGTCTTTCCGACCTCCATCACCCACCAACTACGGTCTTTCTGACCATCGTCGCTCGACTACAATCTTTCTAACCTCTGTCGTTCACTGACTACAATCTTTCTGACCTCTGTCGTTCACTGACTACAGTCCTTTCGACTACCGTCACCTAACTATGGTCTTTCCAGCCTTCGTCGCATGCCAAGTACGGTTCTTCTGACCACCGTCGGCTGACTACGAGCCTTCCAACTTAAATTGTATGCCGACTATGGTCCTGCCAACCAAACGAATATGTCAACACTGATTCTTCCAACTCCCACTATGTAATGCACTTTATATGATGCATAGTTGTTACATCAAGCCAAGGCCTTCTCCCCAACGAAAGACCTCATTTGTAATTGATTGCAAATACTAGTGGATTCATTCAAATTGGGCTAGGCCACGTGGTTTTTCCCCACTTTTGTTGGGTTTACACGTAAAAACTCTTGTGTCTCTTATGAAACGTTACATCTCTATTTTTCATCTGTTTGTGTGCTGGATCTTCATACAAAGCTAGGATGCCAGTTCATATTTCTCTACTGTCACGAATATTTTAGGACAATATATATATATATCATTTAATAAATTTTGAAAGTAGCATTTACATCTAATCTTTGTAGGGGTGTCAAATACCATGAACCAGAATACTGGAAATTTGGCGAGGATGGCAACAAATATTTCAGACATGCAACAGGACAATTATATGCAATCTCCAAGGATCTTGCTACTTACATATCAGCCAATCGGTGAGTTTGACAGGCTAGAATGTTGATGCTGAAGCTTTGAATAATGCCTATATCATACTCCATTTATTTTACTTTTCTGTAATCCTGCAGGCATATACTGCATAAATATGCCAATGAAGATGTTTCTCTGGGTTCCTGGCTTATTGGCCTTGATGTTGAGCACATTGATGAGCGGAGTATGTGCTGTGGAACTCCTCCAGGTAACAATCTTAAAGAAGATAAATGATTCTGCGATGCTATGATCACTAAATTCGCCCATTTTATGTGATGTGGTTTTCCTGTTACGGGTGTAAGTGAGCCGAGCCGGCTCGAGCTTGTGACAAGCTCGCTTTCCCACTAATGAGCCGAGCTCGATATGGGCCTAAACTCGACTCGTTTACACCTCTACTGTAAACTACATGCTGTATATGGACCTTTTCATGGAAGAGTTACGGGCTTCATTTTCTTACACAAATTACTGTCACAGACTGTGAGTGGAAAGCCCAGGCTGGAAATGCCTGTGCTGCATCCTTCGACTGGAGCTGCAGTGGCATTTGCAAATCAGTGGAGAGAATGGAGGAGGTCCATCAACGTTGTGGAGAGGATGAAGGAACAATCTGGCACTTATCAATTTGAGATATGGCCTGCTTTATGCTTTTTAGTTTATGGCCAATATCTCTCCCTTGTATTATATCAAGGCACTAAGAATCGGAGATGATACTTGTGTTAGGTAACTGCAATTTTGAGGTGATATGAAATTGCTAGAGAAAAAAAAGGTTAAGCATATCCGGATGAAATATTTGGTTAGAAGGCAACTCTCTCTAGTCCGGAGCTACTCTAACATTTTTACGTATCTGTTTGTTTGGCATTCAAGCTTTGTTTGAGACGATTTTCTTACTGCTTCCTAAAACAGACTTTGTTTGTGCTAGAAAGCTGCTTTAAGAAACAATAAGAAAGCCGTCTTAAGCGAAACCTCAATCTCTAACTTAATTGTATGCTTTTCTTTTAATGGCCAATATTTTGCAACACTTAACTTAATTGTATTCTTTTCTTTTAATGGCCAATATTTTGCACTGTAAAGCATTGAAGGTCTCACAATCATCTTATAGAATTTTCTTTTGAGCTTTGAGATCAGTGTAATATAAATTAATTATGTATTGTGTTTATCATAAAGTAAACTTAAACTTTTAATATGCATTATAATCAATTTTTTATTAAAATATTTTGATACTAATATTTTCTTGCTTTAATAGAAGTAAAAAAATTGGTTTTTGATATTTAGTTTGTTTTTCCAAAAAAAAAATTTCTTGCTTTATAATCAATTTTTTATTAAAATATTCTCCTTTTTTTAATCCAAATTTGATGATAAATTTGGTAGTTTAATTTAATTTTTTTTATATTGTTATTTTAAGAAGATAAAATATTAGATGAACCAAGCATGTCAAGCTCAGGATCTAGATTTGTAAACCTTGATCAATCAAGTTCTCAAAAGAACAAGCAGGTCAACACATCCACGCAAATATATAAATAATACTCAAACTATGCATTGCTTGTGCTTAATCAAACAACCTAAATCTAATAAACGAGGCTCTAATGATGTTAGCCTTCCAGTTTTTTCAAACTTGATCACAAATGAACTTGAATTGAACAAGATCACTGAGACTTATGACTTGGTTTGAACAAGTGAGAGGGACTTAGACCCCACCTGCTCACTGAACAACAAAATGAACTGATGTGGACCGAAGCTGACAAGAACAAAGGCATGCGCTTGAACTCAAACTTAAATGAAAGTAGAGGACTTTAGTACTCACAAAAAGACTTGAACAATTGAACTTGAGCCAAAACTCGAAAGGACCTGTGAAAGACTTGATATTAATCAGGGCACTTCATTGCTATGAATTCTTAACTGATAAAACATAGTGCGATGAGATTATGGCAATGATTTAGATATTTCATCTCTCAACCACACAGTTGCACGTGGCTAGATAAAACTATGTGGTTGAACTTTATATCCAATATAAAATACGTGCAAACTGATAGGCCCTAGTTGAAACATGAAGAAGTAACCCGTACACAACGCATGGTAGATTGTTGAGCAATATGTGGGGAACACATCCTACCACAAACGCAAAAATCTATAAGGTTGATCAGAAGCGAGTCAAGATAGAGAGCCAAGGTTGCAAAGCAAAAAAGTTGGTGTTACCAGTTCGAATTGTTGAACCATCGTGGAGATTGCAATAATGCACGCAACCAATCAACTTGAAGCTTCCATCACTATAAGAGATTCTTGTCAACTTACGCTCGACTACTCCAATAGAACAACTCATACATACAAGAAGTGCAGGAATGATGGAACGTTGAACGTAGTGCTTGCATAAAGTATATCAACTCCTTATTGTGAAGAGGAGTTGTATAACAGAATTAAACCATGGAGAGCAAGATGAGGGTGGGGGTAGATCTACCAGCCAAGCAACTCATACTTAATGAAATATTCATGAATGAAGACAAGAGTATACAATGATATTGGCTCATGAACAATGCATGGAATTATACAACAAATGCGAATATAAAATGAGATCAAGATTTCTTAATGCATGCAATAATTCACCCATGGGTAGATGTAGAAAGACATCAGTAATATGCAGATTTTCTGTTAGTCAACTTTTAGTCTGTGAATGAATACATTTACCGATACAGCGGGTAGTGGATGTGTTGTAACGGCCAAGACGCACAAAACATGCAGAGCAACCTACGGGGTAAAGGTAGGAGATTTAATTAGGTGCACTACCATCTACTTGCATAAATCTACGCAAGTAGTGCACGATAATCTACCATGTCACAAGGCAGCCAAATAACTCAAATCCAGAAGTCTGCTAACATGCCCACTGGATCCGCCAACATTCATGCAAGCGGACAGAAGGCATTTCACATATTCCAAGAATGCTCCCTGCACATGGCATCGTAGTCTGTACTGCACATAGGTACACAAGGGGTAAGTGTAAATCATTAAACTCGCATGGGCCCCGACGAGCATATTGTAGGGATACATGTGGCGTTAGGGATGTTGCGCGCGGTCAATAAAATTTGAATCTGATCCTCCAGAAGTAAGTAGAAGTGATAATGGTTCAATACATAACTATAAAATACCCCAAACTTAACGATGGGCCCGACGAGCGTGTTATGGGGTCACATGTGACATATAGGGATGCTGCTGGGTTAACTAAGTGAGTTCAAGTTCGAACCTGGATCCTTCTATAGTTCTGATCAATAGGAGTCGACTGGATTCGAACCATCAAAAAATATACAGTACTGGGCAACCCAGTATATTGCTTTTGATACTTCATATAGACATTCAGTCTATAATCAAGAGAATTCACTAATGCATGACACAAAGCTTACGAGAAACCAGTCCTCAGTCAATAGCTTGGTCGAGTTAGACAAGGTACATCCATTAAATGGAAACGACCTCAAAGTCACCCGATATGGCCATGTTGAATGTACAATTTCAACTGGTATGGGTTTATTAAAAAAATTTCAAGTTCCACCTAAATACCCAAAAAAATGTCAAAAAAATAAAAAAATCCCAAATTCCAAAAAGATTCATCGAAATCCCGGATATTTAAATGTGTTGAAATAAATCATCCAATGCTTTTAAGCAAAAACCCATCCACTGTTCGCACAGTTTTGCCGAGATGCGACAAATTTGAATATAACTTCATCTCACATAGAGCCCAATACCTGTCGAAAATATTATTATGATTCAATTCTCAAGTAATCCTTCTGCCGTAAGGTGTGATATGTGATTCTTCTAATAGGCGATTTTTCCACCAAATGGCACCGCTAGGATAAACGGTTATGATCTGAGCCCTCTGAACTTAGTGGTTTTGCCGCCAAATGACACCACAAATACCGGTTATGGCCAGAGCCTAATATGTTCCTTAATGACATCAAACCTTGAGATATGAATCAATCACCTTCTCACCCCTGACCGAGCTACCGCGCGCGCGCTCGCGAGGATATGAGATCGATAGGGCACAAGCCTCTCTTCGAAGCTAAGGTGGATCAAATTTGTTCCTTTGACAAGCATTACCTCAGTTTCTATAGATATCCTTTGGCGAAGCTTTAACATGCTCTGATTTGATTTTTTTTAGCTAAGATGATTCAAATTAATTTTTTAACTAAAAGCTGCTTTAAGAAGCTAAGAAAATTATCCCAAACTCGAAACCTAAAGCCTCCAGATAGTTCTACTTCGCTAACATGCTTTGATTGATTTCTTTGTAATTGCATTCCTTTGGAGTTGTAACTCATAGTTATGCTGCATTTTTCCTTTTCTCGTAGGATACAGCAAATTCATTAATAGAGATGAACACGTTCTACACCATGGGTGTTCTAAGAGGGTGCTTCGCACGCGTTCACGCAAAATTTAAACTGCTGTTTCTGTGTTTTACCCCTTACCCAAGGGGTCATCTCATTCAGGTATCTCGAGTATTTAACTGTGGACTGCGAATCATCTCCACTGTGATCTGTTGAGAAAATGAACCCATAAAATGCATTCTGCTTGTCCCCTGCCCGGTCTGTCAGCTTTAGAAGAATCAAGGGCAAGAAGCCAGATTCAGCTACATGATAATGGATTAGTTAGTAACTTATATCTCTACCTCACAGCTCTCGCGAGGAAACTCTAGCCTGCAACTATCTGCATGAAACTGATTTGATAGATAAGTCCTATGGCTCCAGCAAATTTCTAGGGCTATATTTACTGACATAGTTATAGTTTCATTACCTCTTGCTTGCTTTATGAACTTATCTTTGGCATCGTCGCCTTTCAGTTTGAAATCTTTGAATAAATCATCCGAAAAACAAGTCTCTCCATATTGATATTTTACTCAGTGAGGCTCGCGCCTCCAGCCTATTTACCATTGGAAAAAATCGCAGAAAGGGCCTGTTTCTTTGACAAGGGAGATGCTTAATACAGCACCAAAGAAAATCACATAATCGAAGGTTCACTTAGCCGATTCTTTAAAATCAGCATCTTTTGGTGTGTATCTACTCCTATCTTATTAAATTTTTTTTTACATGCTTCAACCAATGTCAAATTGCATTGCATTACTATTCTCTAGCAATTTGTGCAGGATAAACATGAAAAAAGTAAAGTTCATTAATCCCTTATCCAGCGAGATAATGAAGGGATAAATTGTGGCTTGTGGTCATTTTGCGTTTTGTTTGCGGACAGTTTTCTTTCTGCTTTTTAACAGCAGCTTCTTTAGTACCAAAAATTTTAATTTTTGTATTAGTACACTGCTTTAAGAAGCAGAAAGAAAAGTCATTCTCAAACAAAGCTTTGCTCTGGTGTTGTCGGTACGTTCTGACCGCTATTTACTCGAGACTCCCTTAGCATACCTTGATATCAAGCTTGTTATTATCAACTTTTTTTGAAACCTCATACTTTAGTAAAACCCAAAGAAACTATATCCAACCTTAATAAAACTTAATGATTCATGGTGGTATAAGGTGGATGTAAGAGGCCGAGTTAACCAGTGGTTGTACAATTATTGCTTCTGTATTTAGAGTGTAAATTGTATAAATGTACACTAGCTTGGGATGTTACTAGGAATAACTTAATTGTCACTCATTCATTTCATCATAGCAAAAGTTTTCAGTCCGCGTTCAAATTTTGTAATGGATCTTGTACTTGAATCCGTGGTGTTTTCGTAGCTGTCCAGAGGTTGGTCACTTTTGGGCTGCTACGTTTGTTTTTGCTCTTCTTTTCGAACACATTGGCACCCCCGGTTGTCGAACCTGTGCCTGTACAGTGTAGTTAAACCCAAGTGCGTTATTCGTCCTTCATCTGATAATTGAATGAGTCATTGAGTGCTGGTATTTGTTCGAAGCACAAGCTAAACCATTGATTTTTGGCTCATGAGTACCATGGTTTATCTACTTCTAAGGTTTCGTTTGGGATGTGCTTTTTATTGCTTTCTAAACAGATTTAGTCATATTTCTTTATTTATGCTAAAACTCCGTTTTAAAAAGCAATAAAAAAAGCCGTCCCAAACGAAGCCTAAATCTTGGGCAAAATTACAAATCGTAACGTCAAATTATTAGATAAATCAAATTATATACATGTTTTGGTGTATGTATTAATGTTGGTTTAATAATTAATGCTTATATCTATATATATATATATATAATATATTATAATACTTATATATATATATCTATATATATATTTATTTCAAGACAAATCATGTGCGTATGATGATGTAATGAGTCGATATCAAAGTATTGAATTCGTATTCTAAAATAAGATGAAAGCTATTGTTTTTTAAAATTTTGAACAATAAAATTAAAATTAAGTGATTACTTAATTGAGTTTCAATTTCTCAAATAATTTATAGCCCATTTAGTTCGTCTATGATAACTTCTATTACTCCTTTAAACTCTATTATATTTATTAAAGCATATAATTTTACAAATATAGTATTAAATTTCTTCATAAGTGCATTAATGAACAACAGTTTGTTTGCTTAGGTGAAAAACTTATATTGCTGATGATCTTTATTCTTATGAAATTATATATTGATGGAGTCAAAGTTGTTTGAAGATGCAAACTATGTATTATTTCATAATTACATTCAATCACATTCCAAATAATTAAAATCTATATCTATTTTTTAAACTTTTTTCTATATTTTAAAGAACAAATGCAGCTTACAAGTACCTCATGTTTATCTTATTTGTCTTTGATAACTCCGACCCAAGAAAAATAAAAAAATCGTTTACTAACAAACACTTCCACTCATTAGCCCTCTATTTATTATATCGACAGCTA